TGTGTACACCTGAATTTCCTTCGCCCATGAAGCCCGCTGAGATTGAAATTGGTGAGCAGGCGGCTGGTGAAGAGGAGCTGCATGAGCCCTTTGGCGAGGTCATATGCCCTCCACCCGCCCTGCGTGCGCAAGAAGGCAACCTACATGGGTGATTAGTAATAAGAAGCAAAAGTCGTACTGCCTGCTGCCAATATTTAGTGTCTAGTGCTTTCGACAGAGTTCCTAACTAAGCTTGTTTTCATTGAATATGTTAAGAGAACCTGCAAGTGGACCCGAGTAAATCTTGGGTACTTTGCTACGTAAGGACGGTGGTGGAGTCCCCTAGTCCTAGCCAAGAAGGGGGATGTGCCGGCAATATGCTCGTCTGGCAGGTACATAATAAAATCAGCATCTTGCGGGACGCCGTCCTCCGTCTCAATATAGACTACTTTAGTTCTTTTCTTATCGCTTTTTATAAACTCAAAACGCTGCCCCGGATTGCTGCATCTTTCGCTGCCTCCGTAGGCACCTACATTCTGTATCTGTTTTAGATAGTCCCGAGCAGGCGCGTCGCAAATGATGACGGAAACCATAACCCTTAGCGTACGCCCGAATTCGGGGATTAATAACCCCTTGACTAGTCTACTACAATAAATTTGCACATATACGGGCTTCGAAACACCACAGTAACTGCCTACTGCAAACACCTTACTGAAAATGGCTTTTTTATCCTCCCCAAACACAGCCACAAGACCATCGGGGTTTCATTAAAAAATGGCACGCCCTGGCAGTGTTGTAGCACATCAACTGCGTCCGAACGACCAACTACCTGCAACTTAGCCCTCACTAATTATGTTACTTGAGTCGTCAGACTAATGCGCTCGTTCTCCCCATCGCCCATGGGCATTATCTTATACTTAGTACTACTACCCAAGAGTGTCCTCGAGTCCAGTGGGATACCCCGGATGAGCTCTGACACTGTCCTCAAAATATGCCGAATCTCGTTATGTGGCACATTGTCGCTTAAAGCCCACTCCCTAAGTCGTTCTCTATAAGTACCAGAAGTGGGTGACGACGAACTACTACTACTACCGGAACAAAATGAAGCCCAGGATGCACACAAACCACATTCCTGGAAGATGACGATTGCGGCCTCCTCGCATTGCCTCCTTCACTGTGTGCCAAACACATTCGCTTGGAACATTGCAAGACCTCGCCGCAGCGTACACAATTTGCAAACTTTGCCATAAAAAGTTAAAACAGACAAGTCTAGTTTGCAAATGAGATGGAGACGGCTGTCTGGCTTGTAGCCCTTGTTAGATCAGGAGCCCCGCCGGGTGGGCCTCAATCCCAGTGACGATGAGGAGGAGTCGGAGCAGCATGGTCGGGAGGGGCTACTCCGTCATCAAACACATAGATGGAGAGGAGGGGAGATAAATTCACCGTAGGGAGATTGCTGTAGCAGACCTTGGCCGCCATGAGGGCGGGTGGGAACGCGACTAAAACGTGTCTGTCGTGGTTTCCAGATGGAAACTGTGATGTCGTTGGCTCGAGAACGTATGTGCAAGTGAGGTAACACACAACTGGTTTCGGCTTAACGGAGGGCTGCCCAGAGTGCACGTGATGTACACGGCCAGTGATAGAGTCCCACTATGACAAGCATTTACACACTTCCTTGAGTGTGATCACCGATTCAATTGGGATGGCACCGAGGTGATCGCCATGGTTAACACGAGGCAAGAGAGAGAATTCATCAAAGCGTGGCACTCGAGCCCGGCTAGTATCAACAGACACTTAGAGCTTGCCTCACATTTTACCGG